AAAATTTTTTTTCAAAACCCCCTTTTAGGAAAAAAGGGTCGTTCTTCCCCCCCCCCCCCCCCCCCCCCCCACACACACACACACACACACACACACACACACCTCAGCTTATGGGTCTAATATTGTACATCTATTCAACAATGTGCAAAATTTCTATTTGATGTTAGTTCCCTACCTCATCTGCAGTGATATTTTCTATATCACTGAACGCTATAGATCTGATAGGTCCTAAGGCAGCTTCCTTACACAGGTTAGCCATGTCAGCACCAGAATAACCTGTTACAAAACAGTGTAATAACAAACTTTAGTGGCATTTAAATCTCACAGGCAGCTACACTGAGACGGTGGTACTCAAAAATATAATCCCTATGATATCACAGCTGACAAAAATTGGCCAACAGTTTGGTTTTCAAATAATGACACTGCTGTAAACAACTTACATTTTGGAGAGGGGTCTATCAAATAAGTACCCTCAACAAATTGCTTTTAAATAAAAAAAAACTGTTACAAAACTTTAAAAAATACAATCTCCTCAATTGCCTCTTAGAAAAAATCACATCACAGATGTAAAAATTAAAAAAGTTTTAAAAATCGTTTTCAAGATTTTTTTTAGTAGTGTGTCAAGAACTACAATGTGCCAAGAACTGCTCACCTTCAGATTTGTCACAAATACTGTCCAGGTCTTCCTCAGTGAGTTGATAGGTCTGCTGTGACAGTAAATGGACCACTATGTGTCTCCTGGCAGCTGTCTCTGGGAGAGGAATGTACAGACGCTTGACAAACCTTCGTCTTGCAGCTTCATCTAGCTCCTGGGGCCTACAGTGGTGAAATTTCAGTCAAAATTAGAAATAAAAATTTTTCTCAAATGCTCTTACATCTAAAAATTGGTTAATGTGTCTTCATTATGCTACATATTCTATCCAAATCTGAAATTCCATTTACCAGTATTTTCCTTATTATTAAACTAGTAGCAACACTGTTATAGGAACTGTCCCACCTATTAGTTGCACCAACAACCAGTATTCTGTCTTCCTCTCCAGTTGTTGCACCATCCTGAAAGAGATAGTTATTAAAATAACTAGTGGCCAGCCAGGTTTAGGTGATCAAAACTGTAACTTACATTTAGAGGTACATTTTTTTATTCTGAAGATGTAAAGCAGCAAAATTAAGAAAGTATCTATGACAAAGATTGCAGCAAACTCTTCAAATTAACCAAATGCAGTTGGAAGAAGCATACCTTTCTTTAAGCAAAAACTCACCAATTGCACCAAAAATTCAGTTTTGATTCTCCTAGAAGCTTCGTGTTCCCCATCTGTCCTCTGTGTTAACAGCGAGTCAATTTCATCGATGAAGATTACAGCTGGCTGGTGGCAGCGGGCCACTGCAAACAATGCACGGACCATTTTCTCACCTTCTCCTACCTACAAATAAATGTTTTTCCCTTTTATATGTTCCCCTGTACATCTTTGTACTACAGCACATAGCTATAATAAATAAATTAATGAATAAATAAATAAATAAACAGAAAATAAGAAATGAAATAAAGCTGAAACCTACAAACTTTGGCTCAAACAAATCTTGGAATTCTCAACCTGATACCAAATATGCACAATTTTAGAGCACTGAAATTTATAACTTACCCACTTTGAAGTTAAGGAGGAAGCACTTATGCTGAAAAACGTTGACTTGGACTGGCTGGCAATGCACTTTCCTAAAAACATATTTATATCAGTATAATTGTTTTAGATAATCTTTACATTAATTATTTGCAAAGGGCAAACAATTAAACAATAAAAGACCATATTTAACAAGTGATCTAAATGAAAAAGAGGAACAAAACCATAACTATTTTATAGTATATAACAAACCAATCAAGGTTTTTCCAGTTCCTGGAGGTCCAAATAATAGCAGTCCTTTTGGTGGACCTCGCAAACCAGTGAAGATGTCACTGAAATTGAATAAAAGATGCAATTGCAGAAACCTCTGACAGAAAAAAAATCGCCGAGGTCTTCAGCAAGTAAGTTTAACCAATTTAGCAGTCACATGCTTTGCTGTAATCTGCATTTCAAGAAACACTCATTTAAATACATTTCTTCAACAAAGATAGTAAAACTTTCTATATCAAAATTTGCAGAGGGCTTCGCATTGGGTACATTAAAACATGCTTCCTGTACAGAAAATAGGCAGATTTATGACAAGACAATCCTACAATCTGTGACTTGAAATTAAAATTTTCGTATGAAATTAGTTACTTTGTGGTGGAATTATTAGGAAAAATATAACTCACGGTCTCAACATTGGCCAAACTACAATCTCTTTGATAGTATTTTTTGCAAACTCCAGTCCAGCAATGTCATCCCAGCTCACAGGTGGACCATGGTCCATAATCTACAAATAGAGAAAACACTGGAGGTACAATTATTACTTCACTGAAGAAATCAAAACAAAACCTACATCCATTTACTTTTGAGCAGTTGAACACCACTTAATTCAATCTGTACACAAAATAAACCCAATTAAACTCAAGTGCAATATTTGTATTCACCTCATTTGCTATTAATTCAATCATCTTAGGGTCAATGTTCTTAAGTCTTTCATCCACTGGTTCATCTGTTGTTTGAGCTTTATTGAGTCCAGATCTTTTCAAAAGTGTAGAGCTAAAGCAAGATGTTTGTATTAGATAATTTAGTAATCTGAATAATCACCAATAAATAGAATTAATTTTCAAAAAGTTGGATAAATTGAGGAAAGAGAATATTGTTCTCCATTTGGACAAGACGCTTACTGTTTATGATTTACAGTCAATACATTTGTCAAAAATGTTCAGGCAAAAAATATAAATGTCAATTTCATTACAAAGTTTCATTTTGCCCTTTTTCTTACCTTTCATCAGAATCACTGCCATCTCTATTCATTACTGGAGGCACAAATTTACTAGTAAGACCCCTCCTGTTAAAGGGAAAATTAAATCAAGCAAAATTAAAAACTGTTTGTAAGATTATCACTGAAGAGTACAAATCACTTTTACTGTACTGTTGAATTACTGTTGAATAATTATATTTGAGGTGTTTCTAGACTTACCTTGTTCCCAATGACTTCTTATTCATTCCATAATTTGAAGCATTCACTGGCCCTTGGCGACTGTTTTTTTTCATCTGATTTAATTTCTGTCAAAGTTAGAAGAAATAATTATGTAAAAATACTTGGTGAAAATACAATTGCATTTTATTCAAGCCTTACTGCAGCACAAAAACTACAAGCTATAATAAAACGTTTACTTTTATTTTTAACTTCAACTACTACAGTGTAGCTTCTAAACACCTCTTACCAGCTGTTCATTTGCTGTTCTAAAAGCATCAAATTTTCCAGCTTTACTGTCTCCATCATCTTCTGCACATATATTGTCTCTTTTTACTGTTCCTCTGCCATTCTGAATGTTCTGAATAAACAAAACAAAATGTAATTTTTTTTCAAATCATGTGTTGCTCAATTCCTAGCACCCTCTGATAAGTTCACATTAAATCCATGTGGTCTTTCTGAATTTGCTTATTTTTTTTCTCTTGTTGATACTTTGTTTAGGTGTTTAATGCAGATTATTGCAAAATGTGGAATGTCACACTACTGTGATGATGGACATATAAAAAGAACACACAGTCTTCAAATTAAGAAAACAATGAACATGATGAAAAGCAAAGAATTCCTTCTGTTACAACAATATCAACAATATACCCAACTTTGCATTCTTATTGCTTGGACTTATGAACCGGCAACACAAAGTTAGTTACTTACTTCTACCCTGCTGTAAGAGTTTGAAACTGCTGCAGCTGACTTGCCAAAACCACTGAAAGGTCCTCCTAAACATAAATTTGTGCAGTGGTTAAGTCTATTTCAATATGCAACCAAAATTGAAAAACTAGAGAGCAAAGCTGGAAAATATACAGACACCATACAGGAAACAAAGCAGTACAGCTGCCAAATGTTCAGACATAATGCAGAAAAAAGTGCACAAAATGTTTCGGACAATTTTGATGCACTGTAAAATAATGCCTAAAAACAGCATAATCACTCTTACCCACTTATATTGTGTACTACTGGTAACATGGACATTGAAAAACTAGCAAGTGATTCAGTTCCATGGAATAAAAAAGCCACTGAAAATGCCGATAAGTGAAGAAAAAAAAAAAAAAAGACAGAATAATTATTGTAAATGTAAGCGGATCATGCCGATTTTCCAAAGTAAATTTAAAGTAAAACAAAAATACGGTTTGGCAGTTATAGGGCGAACGTCATGTGTCAGACAGCGACAGCAACAGCAACGGCCACAGTGATGACACAGACAGAGAGACCAATTAGAATATATACAGACACTTACAGTGTCTATTATATAGTATATATAAATAAGGTAAGCTCCTTTTAAGATTCTTTGCAAAATTCAACTGCGCTAGTAAAAAACAGCGACACGAGCAAGCAGACTTTTTGATGGCACCAACCAACTAAATCAGGTTAAATAGTCCTCACAAAGGGTAGGCAGGTCATATAAGAGATCACACAAGCATTTCAGCATGATCCAGCGGTGAAATTGTACTCAAAGCCTCTTTTTTCTGAAGTTAGTCTAATAACAGTTCTAGTTAACCCAGTGCGTGATGACCCAATGCCCATTCTTAATTAGCATTTTTTTAAAAAATTTTTCAGCCTATATTTATATCCTACCCTGAGTTCCAAATTTCCTCTTTCCATATCCATATTCAGAAGAGCCACTACTGGTAGAATTACATGTAAAAGGCAGCCTTGAAAGTTCATGGTTTCCATCAGGCTTTTTAAGCATGAGGGAGTGGTTTCTTGATCCAATCTGAGCCTGCTGTTGGATAACTCCTTCACTGCTACATGCAGTTTCAGTTTTTGGATTGTATGCTGGACTTGGCACTGTGGGATTTGGTCTTTGACCAGCAGTATTCCCTCTGTTATAAGCTGTGCTTCCAGCAACTGATGAGGTGTCACACATAGCAATTTGTTGAGCCACATGACTGGCAGGTAAAATTGTTTCAGCAGATTCCTAAAGAGTATACAATGAAAAAAATATATAAACACACAAGAAAACAATATGGACGATGGAGTGAGAATGGTCTTGCAAAAAGGTATTGTTGAAGCACTCTATATCAACAGTGGAACATTAGTTCATCACCAGCAATGAACCTGATCTTTTTCAAATGTACTAGTACTTTTTTTAATTATAGATTTTTTAAAATGTAGATCATTAAGCTTTTCAACAGAAAGAAGTAAAAGGTACCAGCAACAATCAAATTATCTGCAAATACAATTCATAATTATTAATTTAGCATAAAAACCACATTAACCTTGGCTGCCTTGAAATATTTCTGAACACAATCTAACTTTGCTACAGCATCATATGATAGAGAGCTCTTCCATTCTTTGCTATCTGAAATTAAAAAAACTATACATCAGGTGCTCAAAATCTCCATCAATCTTTTAGTAAGACACCAAAAAATTCAATGAAGAATTGGCAACCTGCCTTTTCTTTGCTTTGTGAGTGATCCAAACTTTAGCAAGCTATCTTGAGGACTAACAATTTTAGAACCAGTTGCACCTGCAGAACCAGAGCCTGGAGGAGTGTACACAGACTATAGACTTACATTCATCTTTGAAAAATAATCAGATTGGCCCTATTCAGAATAGGGGACTAACTAGTCCGAGCATCAAATATGGTAACCCACTACAAAGCCTGCCGTCTAATTCACTTATAGACACCAAATAGATATCCCGGGGAAGTATTCGGCCACGGATTAGTTAGTCCTCTATTCTCAATGGGGCCATTGTAAACATGATTTTTGTAAACTTTATCATTAAATCAAAAAGCAATTTTATTAGAATTGTTTTCACTTTTTCAAAAATTGTCATTCTTCTTCAAAGAGTTGATAGTTAAAACAATTTCGAACTTACCATTTTTATGCTCTTGGCAGATGGACAATGCTCCTTCAGCAAAATTGTTCAAACCTAAAAGCAATGATATGAAACAGTTAAAATTTAACACCTACAACTCTTGTCACTATATATGCTCCCCTGGCAGGAATCAAAATCAAAATCTTATTTATAGGCATTGCTTGTCTGATTTAAGTATTCATTGTATATTATCAGTACGTCATTTTATAAACAACATATGCCTGTATTCAGAGGTTTAAAACTACATAATATAACAAAGCCAAACAAGCTTATAAACACATGTGGGGAAGGTGCATTTTCCAAGGCCCAGATTTATAACTAAAATAAATTGGGGAGTGAGAAGGCAGTCTTGACAACTGACCCTATTGCCCTATCTAGGCAGAGTCAAGCAACAGGTAAAGAACACCATACCGTTCTGTTCCTCTGGAGAATCCACTATGGATGAATAACGTTCCAGGACACCTTGAATCCAAGAAAAGCTGCATTCTTTGCTTATTCTGAAAAATAAAAAGGAATATTATAATTATGTATGTACTGTACATCCCAAAAAAATATATTGCCAGTCATTCTGACTCACAATGGCGAGAGGACTGGCAGTCAAGGTGAAAAACTGTTATTGATCCCTGACATAAGGGCTAACAGTCACTAGTATATTTGAATGTGACAAATAATACCCACATATCACTTGCTGCAGCATACTGCAGAGAGCATGCCATGTTTCTCAGGGCATCTGCTTGGCATGATGCAGAGTTGTCTGGATTTTCTGCTAGGAAGTGGTGACTTTGCAGTCGATGTAGTAGCTGATGTTCTTGTTTCTTATTTGTACTCATTTCAAAGTCAAATACCGGTATTTTTATACCATCGATTCTCATGAAGCCCACAAATGGTGAGAGGATGCCAGGAAACTAACAACTGATTCCTAAAATAGATAATGCCAAGGGAAAAGTGAGTAGACTGAAAGACATTGTACGTGTGCAAAATGTATGTCAACGGGAAAGTTACAGTGGAATCGCATTTGTATTACTTATATTTAAAGGAGCTTCAAACCTCGGACTAAAATACAGTAAGTATAAGGGCTTACACTACTTCTTACTTGTGGTAAGCGCTTGAGCAAGGCCTTAAAATGATACATAATATTCAGGAGTTCATTCATGTAACGTGCTTCATCGTGAACATTTATCGCGGACCATTTATCGCTGCCGCCTTCATTTTCAACACCAGGCGATTCCAATCCAAGACAATCCATCAGTTAAAAAAAAAACTCACATGATCACTGTACAAAATTAATACAGCATGCTTTCACTGAATAAAATATGTTTGTGTTATTTTCTAACATATTTACTTCTTGGTAATTTTGAAAACAGTGTGTTGGAATATTATTAGTTTTTCTTGAATGCACTACCACCTATGATTCAACAACAAAACTTTTCATAACAAACTTAGTCGCGCATAAACTTACCTGGATATTCACCTTTTATTTTGTGATACTGTCAGTAGCCTTGAAAATAGTTCAGTTGGGCTCTCAGAATAGCAAGGTAAGGACAAACGTGCAAAGATAATTAAGTGCACCTGTAAGGCGCATTCATTTTTGACTACGGTGTGTTTAGCTTTAAGACTTTCCAACTTCCAAATTTTATACTTCCGTGCTTTGGGCTCCATGATACAAGTGCATCTTATGCACCTGTTTATTTTTTAACTTAGATTTTCATGTCAAAAACTTGAAATAGCATATTTATCGTGCTTACAATTCCAGCTGCATTCGATATATATATATATACGAATAAGTATTTTGGTGAGACTTTTAACCTTATTTTATTAGGTGATACTACATTTTTCATGTCAAAATAGGTACATCTGGTGACTAACAACAGCTAAATAATACATATTTTGAGTTTGTTCTGCAAAGTTTACAAAAATATTTTAGGTAACTTGAAGTCAGATATTTGCCACAAACCCCATCCTAAATTGTACTAGTGCTACTAGTATAGTAGCCAATGCCACCTTGTAATTTCAAATAGCATTTAAAGAAATACCAAACAGTATCATTTCATATCTTCCCCAAAATGATATTTGAGCAGAGATTTCCTGCTTTCTTGCTATGCATATATACATATACCAGGTTCAGTGTATAACGCTTGGTTGTTTTCATCAAAGTTCTTCTGGATAATTATTATTTTGCAAAAGCAAGAGTAGTGGGTTAATGCAGAAATGTATGTCAATTGGAGGACTTTAAAGAACTGGGGGGATGGATTAGAAGATCAAATTGTATACACAGCAAGTTGTCAATTTAACTTTCTACACATTAGGTTCATCAATATATGATTTAAATAAAATTAAAGTACCTTTGTATAATACCAAAATTTTTATCTTTTTTTTTTCCTTACTCATAATTTCTTACTGTGTATCTGAATTTTCTTTTTTATATTTTTTTAATACCTTGTATATGGAGAACCATTTGTGTTGGTAAATGCACTGCTGTGGGGAACTTGCACGTATAAATTGTTAAAAAGGCCCTGGAAAAGGGCTAACATTTATTTTATTAAAGATGTATGTTAATTGTTACTTTATTAATTGTCAATATGAAACAACTTTAATGTTTCAGCACAATGCGAGCCACAGTGCTTCTTGTGTTGTTAAGCCTTCTTTTTGAAGCAACCTTGGCCAGGCATGTTGATTGGGTTCCATGCCCCCACTCAGTATCTCCATCACCAACTGGGAAGAAACCTGTGATCACTCTAGCACCACAGTTTCAGATCAACATTGAGTGTAACATTTTGCAGGTAGGGTGCAAAATCTAATCTTTGTGTTCAAATTGTTGTTTTTCTTTTTATCAAGAGCTTGTAAATATGTGGGTATTACTTATATATCTTGATAAAAAGAAAAACAACAATTTGAATTGATACATACAGAGCTAATGAAACTGTTCTCTCATAATCTTTGTGTTGTTAGTGATGTGGTTCAGTGTTTACGATGCATGACTGCAGGATGCAGCTCACCGTTCTTTAAAACTTGCCATGATGGACAAGAAATGGTTGTCTTTGATAATTGCAATAAGAAAGTAAAGAGCACACTACTTGAAAGTAAAATGCTTTAGATTCTCAGGTAAATCTTTAATTTGCACTCAGTGACAATATTAATGCTTTAGTGTCTTGCTGTACATTATTGTCTTAACTAACTCAATAATTCAGTTTCAAATGAGTAAAGAGATCACCAAATTTTATTTGAGCATTTATATTTCTATTTTAGGTTTTTTATTTAGAAAGTTGTACATTGGTGAAATATTTTTCAGTTTGTTCAAATTGTGTTGATTGGGGAACATATTACAATTATTCCAAGAATTTTTTTAAATTTTTTTTTACAGAAAAACACAAGCTTTGACATAATTGAGTATGTGGATGAGATAAACAACAAAGCTGCAGTATTTACAACTTCTTCTTACCACAGTGTCTCACAGTTCTATAACTATGAAAAATATGAAATTTTCACAGTTATCAGTAAGTATCTAACCAACACCAATGTAAGAAAATTTTTAATACCCAATAGAACCATAGAATTTTAAGAGTTACTGTCCAATAATGGGGTAATCAAGAAAAAGATAAAATTGTAGAAACAACATAACTATTTGCGCTTAAAAAATGAATTAAACTTCCCAGAAGTACAAAGAATAGAAAAAGATTGATAATGTGCAGTATCCAACAGATGACCCTGTATTGGCATTTTGGGGATAAAAGAAATGTTTTCTCTAGCACCATGTTAAATTACTCCATATTACAATGGCCTGATCACTTCAAAAGGAGATAACTTACATACACACACTTTTGGCAGTAATTCTTGATATCAATCTGTTTTCCACATGGTAATAAACATCTAGGGTAATTTTGGTAGCAATCAGTTGGTAAGATAGGGAGTTAAAGTTGAAATCATTAACTATTTAAAAACAGTGAAAAACGTCTGTTGTTGTAATCAAAACAGACTTTGTCACTACTAGAATCCGTATGTAGCTTGACCATATAGATTTCATTCACCTAAAATTATTCTTATTATACTTTGTAAAAGACCTTCTTAAGGATAATATCCAATCGTTTCAAACTTCAGATGGTACATGTACGACTAAAGACATGAGGGCCAATGGCAGTTATGGGTTTATTGGTTATACTCCTGGAAAGAGTGGTGGACACGTCATGAGTGTTAAAGATTTGCTTATGTTTGGAGAGGAGTACAACGATACTTATGTTGGCCCAGCAACAGTAAGTTTTAAAAAATAAGAGAATTTTTAGACTGCATTCCCACAGATTTTAGATCGATCTATCCCCGGAATTACCATGACTAGTGATAATTTATAATATTGCCTCATTATCTTCCAGTTGATTTGATAAGAGTGTGTGCTTTGGAGTAGAGGGGGTAAATTTACTTATAATGTTCAAGGTACTCTCATTTGTCATTCAGAATTAAATCAGCAAAAATGTGAAATCAGTATCAATTCATATTTTGTGGCATATTGTAATATCTCATCAAGGTTCCAGATGTCCAGGTTTCAATTGTTTTGTCACTGGGTTGTTATTGGTGGGAAGTCATTGGCCTGTCTTCAAGTGCATTGTATAAGGCACTGTTTCAGCCCCTTTATGCTTACAGTTTTGTTCCAAAGACATTTTATTAAAAAAAATTCTTTCATTTAGTGACCAGTAAGAAAGAGCACCATCTTGAGTGCTCTTATCTTGAGTGCCCCCCCCCCAAAAAAAAAAAATTAAATTAAAAATTTTTTAAAAATTCACGTATATTTTTATTTCAGGTACGTGGTATCCCAGTAGATCATTGGACAACCTGTGTTCATGCCCCTGCCTTCAACATAACAGTGACCATGGATTACTACTTCAACAGGCCAGAGTATAAGACTTCCAGTGGGGACGTAGTGCCTGTTAGACTGGCAATCAATGGGACATGTAATAATATGTTTTTATTTATAAAATTATAATATTATTTTGCTTAAGATATTTGAAATAGTTAATGTATATGAAATATATCTTTTTTTCTGTTTTCTGTTTTCTACACTTTAAGCTAAATATTTTTTTAAAGTGAGTTATTTTTTCAAAGTTTGATGTGTTGGTTTAATTTGGTTGTTAGTACTTTTTCAGTAGGGTTACATGTAGCAACATTGGCTTGGTAACTGTAAAAGTGTATTAAATCTATAACTTGAAAGTAAATATGTTTAGGGCAAAAAATATTCAGATTAATGAATTGCACAAGATTATGTGTGGATATAATAAACAAAGGAAATAATTCTGTTTAAAAACAGTGAATATTGACATAAAAACAGATTTATGATTCACATATAAAAGCCAATCTTTTGTTGTTTTGATGTCCATGTGACAAATAAAAGTTACCTTTTTTTAAAAATTTTATATAGCTCCAAATACTCGTGATCCCTCTGGCAAGTTGCAGCCAGGCTCACATGAGTTCAGGCACAACTATGAATTTATTTACTACAAACCTGGGGCCGTGGATCCAACAATCTTTCAGGTAAGGTTTTTATCTGTGCCATCATTTATTGGCATGCATTGCAGGTAAGACATTTATATAGTAAAAAAAAAAAAAAACTGGAAAATTCTTCATTTGGGTGTGCCCTGGCGATTAAGAGAAAACTTGAAAATTCCAGATAACTTGCCATAGAAATTAGATAACTTGTCATAGAAATTCTTACACTCATTATGGTTGATGGCTCTGGTGCTTTGGAGCTGTAAATAAATTGATGTGTAAAGTGAACTGGATCAAAATGTTTTCTGATGATTAGTAAACCACTGGCATAGAGCTGGAAGTGTGGTTGATTTGGTCAGATACCAATTCTGTCACCATTGCATTATTTTCACAAGCTGAGGGTATGAAACCAAGAAAAACTTGATCCTGTTCATTTTCATGTAATTTCAGTCCTCATTATATATAGTGGAAGAAGATCCCCACTTCTGCGCTTTATGTGTTTTATTTGATTTGGTCAACTACACTGTTAGAATATGTAAAATGTCTGTCTTGTTGTTGGTTTCAGACTCCAAAGGGAGTAGTGTGTCCAGGAAGGATCAATATCAAGTCCCTACCTAACATAACTGACCAGTTTACTTTAGATGGGGAAACAGTACATCAATCATCCAAATCTGTTGATATGATTAAGGTGATGCAGCACTGCTGATTAATTATTTTTGTTGAAATTTTTTTTCAGTTAAGAAAGTACACATTGTTTAAAACTAACCTTAGATTGACTGTGTCCTTCTTATCTGTCTGTGACATAAGTAAGTTGCACAAGAATTGATACGTTTCAAACTGAAAATTGTTATACATTTAATCAAGACAAGTGCAAGGGGGTTGAACTCCCAATAGGAAAGTATATCAAGTTCATTTATAACCCTGACATTTTGTCTCTTTCACACACAATACACTTACTTACCCCCCGATTTGTTGAGCCTTCCAATGCACACTAAATTTGACTGAAGCAGCTAGGCCTACTAGGGCATAAGTAAGCTCAGCACCTGTGTTATATTTCGTGGGAAATTGGGACTTAGAAAGCCAAGGTATATAGTTATCCCATTCTGATATTGTTTTAAGTAGACTGTGTGAAAGAGTCAAAATGTCAAGGTTATCAGTGAACTCAACATGCTTTTGTCTTGTGAGTTCAACCCCCCTTGAAGTCAGCCCAGATAGGAGGTAGATTTTCAAAAAGAATTTCTATATTGTAAAATGACTTTCTTGTTAATTCTTTATCTGTATGATAAAGGCCTGGGTACTTAGCTTGATTGACAAATAAGTACCTCCAACAATTATTTCAATATTTATTTCCTATTTCAGGAATTTTATGACTTTTCAGCCAAGATGTTTCGTTTTGACAGGAAGCTGAAACACTCCACGAGACGCTGGAACAGAAACATGACAGCAAAATATGGTGCTGCAAATCTCAAGTTTATTCATGACTACAATGCAGGTAAGTGAAATTATATACTGTACCAGTACAGTGATTTTAAAACTTTTTTCAACAAATTAATGTTATTGGCAGCTACTACATTCATAAGGAGAAAGGGGTCGAATATATATATTACAATGTAGATGATATGAGCGAAAAGTGAATATAACTCAAAAGAATATGTAGGCATTTAGAATTAATAGAACTTATACAGTGTATATTTGAATATTTCTTCAGGCCTAGAGTATGTTATTGATAAAGAAAAGGGGAACTGCACAATTCATCCCATTCCTTTACTTGCTTGGGATGGTGAGCAGATGCCAGATCATCATCATCTTAGGATGAAGCATTCTTATGAGATGTGGGAGGGTCAAATGTTCAACAACCTGAACACTTCATATGAAGGCCAGGTGAGAACAGCTTGGGATTTACTGTATTTGTTACAGTGTCAGCTCAATGTGATGTCTTTATTTCCTTAGCCTTTGATTCAAGTCAATGTATAACAAAGCAGAAAAAGTATTGATATAGTGTTGTGGTTTTTATGATAAATGACTCCTTTGTTATAATCCTATGGTGAAAAGGAGTCCTAAGCGAGACTGTACTTGATTTTCCAGAGGATGATCAGAGACATTCCAGCAGATGTATGGGTCACCAGTTTCCCCTCAAGGTGGAACAAGAGTCATTATGTGACATCAGAAGTATATTTCACCCCCGTAAGATAATCAGATATGTGTTATCTTAAAGTTTGTTGTGTCTTTCACTTGTTTTCATTTAAAAAGAATTACTTGATACTTTTCACAGAAGCTTACAAAAAAGGCTATTTAATACTTTATGTTAAATTTTAACTTTTCAAGTGATGGGCGGTTTTTATTAAAAATATTGTTAAACCCATGGCATAAATAAGTTATCAGTTTTAATCAATTATATTTTTACAGGCAAATTGGACTTATACTGTTGAAAACAACGAAAATGAAACCATTGTTCCTGTTGCCACTTGGATGAAGTTTGGAAGTGGCAACAAGGTAAGGAGAGTTTAAGTTAAATTTTTTTCTTTTTAATTTTACTGTGTGTGAACCCAGTAGGAAAGATTAAAAAAAAAAGACTTCGTCAGTAAGCATATTTAAGCATCATTAGATGCAATATGAAAAAAACGAAGAACTTTTTTTCTTGAATTCTTTGCATCGTACATGTACCACCACTGCTTGGAATTTCCGGCCAAACTTTTAATTTTTCTTTGTGATGGTCAAAATTACTGATACAATGACAATAGTAATTGTGCTTGAGGCATACATCTACAAATAACTTTTTCCTCAGTAATGTCGCATATCCTTTGCCCACAAGTGTCTGCGTCAATTATTCATTAATACCTAGATAAAATTCTCTTAAATGTCTGAGAATGATATTCTCCCAATGATATGCCTAACTTGTTGTACATGCCCAGAAGGGAACCACTCCTCTCCTCTTGTAAAATTTGCTTCTTTTTATTTCAGTCTTATGAATTTTTTATGAACATCTTTGAATTTTACAATGGACATCCCGATGAAGATTCCTTTGATATCAGTTCCTGCTATGACCAACCTAAGCAGAAGCAGGGCATGGTGTTTAGAGTAGTGGGTAAGAGGTTGTTCACGTGCTTTTAATTTCTGTTTTCTTATGTTTTTACCTATTATCTTACTTATTAAATAGATTTAGTAATGCTTATTGTATTTAACACCATAAAAGGTAAATAATGTTAGTTTTCATTCTCAAGACTACAGAAATGATTTTTAGGACTGAAGTACAGCTTGAATTGGAAAACCATACAAATTATATTCTTTTTCTCGCAGTAATGCAGTTTTTTTACATAAGAACATTTTCATGGTATGACTGAACATCTGTGGGCCTGAAGCCCATTGCTAGTTACATTATCTGATTATCCATGTTACTTGTAGTACATAATAAAAAATTTGTGGTGTTTATGCTCTGAAGCATACTGTAATGTTGCATCAAAATTGAAGAGCACCCTTTTTGGGCACTGCCACTATAAAGACCATAAAAGGGAAACCATGTTACTTATTATTTTAAAACTTACATAAAACAGGGGCGGATCCAGAGTTATTTTCTGACAGTCTTCCAATTTATCTTTGTTGAGCCATCCTCCATTTTTGACCGTCTTCCGACAGAAAAAATTAGATACCCGTCAATGTAAACTTGAAAATCTGACTGTCTTCCGGAAGACCCAGAAGTAATGCAGTTTTTGGTGACATTTGTTCACAAATTTGAATTTTCAAGGAGTTCCCTGTCATTCTTAACACTAAAAAATATATATATTTCATACTTATAATTCCATCTCATACTTGGGGAAGTGACACCTTGGACTTAAATAATCTAATGTTCAAAAACAAGCCTTCATAGTCCG